CCCTCGCCGGGAGCGCCACCGCGCTCCCAAGTGGCGCACTGTAGCAGTGCGCCACCGGGCCGGCCTATTTTTGTATTTTTAATAAAGTAGAAAATCTCAGCAAACTTTCTAAACAGCAAGGCAAATCATTTACTATAAAAACAGTTTGCACTATGTATCTTAACATCCCCTAACAATACTCAAGTCAAAGCATGAAAACTGATCATAATCATCAATATGAAATAACTGTTCCCAATCCATGGGGATACCTTACAAGCACATCATCTGGTTGGTCCCAACTCAGGATTCATCCTTCCATTCAATAGTAATTTCTTGAGCATCTAGTACCCTTAGGCACCATACTAGGTAAGCTCTAAGATGAACAAATGGTCATACCATGTAATTTCAAAATNTAGGAAAAATGTAAAGTGGATATTATAAGGGATTTTTTTAATATCTGATAAATGAACAAGAACATAAATCATATGAAAAATTAATTTCATTATAGTCTCAGCTTGTATATATCCACCTTCTCTGGGAAATTGCTGGGATATATATTGTACCAATAGTAATCATTTTATTATCCCTGAAAATAGTATGTCAGAACTGCCAATATTTTATTAGCTGGGAAGCAGCTGTGTCTAGTGGTGTTACTACAATAATTTGCATTTCTAAATGTATCGTACCACTTTAGGAAAGACAATATACTTTGTACAGAGATTTCTGCTTCTACCTATATAGAAAACTGGAAAGAACTTCATTCCCACCCTAACAAAGAGAAAAAGCCAAATAAACTACAAAATTTTAACTCTTCTTAAGCCCACCAGATAGCTGGGGTCACAGGGCAACCAAGTAGCCGGAATGCCAAGGGAGGCCCATCCAAGGAGAAACAGGCCTGGCTTGCTTTCAGCAGAACTTGAGAAGAAAGGCAGACACCACTCCCCAGTCTAAGCACAAAGCAAAGGCAGGCCAGCACTAGCATTTGAGTCCCGTGATACAATGAGGAGGAAAACCCAGCTAAACCCCTGAACAGACTGACTCACCCACACCAACACCCTGACAGAGGAAGACATTTGCCCATTTTCAGGCATAATGATGCCTGATATTCGCAGAATACAAACCTATAAGCAAATAAGGACAGGTATAACAATGCCCATTTCACAGAGAAGGCTCCCAGAGGTAAATTGCTTTACCTACATTACATGGCAAGCTAGAGAATTAGTAAATTAACCCAGGTCTTCAGACTCTGCTAAAACACAGATACTTCTAGGTATCTGTACTAGATACTTCTACATTCATGAAGCAGTATAAAGTGACAATCCAGATCACAATTCTGTTCCTTGTCATCAGTGTATTAGAGAGCAATTTTACATTACTTTAATTCCTTTCATCCCATAAAACCAACATCTTATTAATTTTAGTAACTATCTCAAAGTCACTGAGAACAATAAATCCAAAATAATAAAAACTGCTAAATCCAAAATAATAAAAACCGTATCCAAAAGTTAATTGAAGAATCTCTTTAGGATACTCTGGACTCCCTAGCAACAGCAGGCTTGTTAGTGGTCACTGTATGGCTCACTTTGTTCATTTCTGGACATATTTTGTGGCAGTTTCATTTTAGTACTGGCCACCGTTTCATATTTTAGTGGTACAAAGCAGGTAAGAGTTTTATCAGCCAAAATATTCCATAAAGAAAGTATTGATTTCCCTTTTATTGCTAAGTTAATAGGAGGTATTCTTTCTCTTAAGGGGAGAAAATGTTTTATCCTTACAGGAATAGATAAGTAAATAAAATATAGAGCTATTAAAGAACAATGAAGTCAAAAAAGACTATTTTTGTATTTTTAATAAAGTAGACAATCTCAGCAAACTTTCTAAACAGCAAGGCGAATCATTTATTATAAAAAGTTTGCACTGTGTATCTTATAACATCCCCTAA